CACCCTAGCCCCTCCACACCCCCTCCACACTAGGTCCCCTCACAGTCTCGCTCACTCTAAAGCCCTCACATCGCCCTCACCCTAGCCCCTCACACCCTCACCCTAGCCCCCTCACACGCCCTCACCCTAACCCCCTCACACCGCCCTCACCCTACCCCCTCACACCCTTCACCTAGCCCCCTCACACCCCTACCCTAGCCCCCTCACACCCTCACCCTAGCCCCCTCACACCTCACCCTAGCCCCCTCACACCCCTCAACCCTCCCCCCTCCAGCTCACCCTAGCCCCCTCACCCACCTCCACCCTTAGGCCCCCTCACACCTCACCTAGCCCCTCACACCCCTAGTCCCTCACCCTAGCCCCCTCACCCTCACCCCTGACACCTACGCCTCACCCCCTCACCCTAAGCGCCCCTACCCTCTCCCCCCTCACACCCTCACCCTAGCCCCCAACACCCTCCCTAGCCCTCACACCCCTCACCCTAGCCCTCAACAGCCCTCACCCTAGCCCCTCTACCCCTCACCCTAGCCCCCTCACACCCCTCACCCTAGCCCCCTCACCTAGCCCCCTCACCACCCCTCACCTAGCCCCTCACAGGCCCTCACCCCTAGCCCCCTCACCCTCACCCTAGCCCCTCCCTCACCCTAGCCCCCTCACACCCCTCACTAGCCCCCTCACACACCTAGCCCCCCTCACACCCCTTCGACCTACTAGCCCCTCACCTTCACCCTAGCCCACTCACATCCCACCTAGCCGCCCTCACACCCCTTCACCCTAGCACCCCTCACACCCCTCACCCTAGCCCCCTCACACCCCTCACCCTAGCCCCCTCCACCCTTCACCCTAGCCCCCTCACACCCTTCACCCTAGCCCCCTCACACAACCCTACCTACCCTCACCCCCCCTACCCTCACGCCCCTCACCTAGCCCCTCACCCTAGCCCCTCCAACCCTCACCCTCACCCTAGCCCCCTCACATCCCTTCACCCTAGCCCCTCACACCCCTCACCCTAGCCCCCTCACACCCTCAACCTAGCCCCTCACACCCTCACCCTAGCCCCCTCACACCCCTCACTCCTAGCCCCCTCACGCCCTACCCTAGCCCCCTCACACCTCACCTAGCCCCCTCACACCCCTCACCCTAGCCCCCTCACACCCCTCAACCCTAGCCCCCTCACACCCCTCACCCTAGCCCCCTCACACGCCTCCTAGCACCCTCACACCTAGCCCCCTCACACCCCTCACCCTAGCCCCTCACCCCCACTCAACCCCCTCTAGCCCCTCACACCCTAGCCCCCTCACCCCCCCTCACCCTAAGCCCCCTCACACCCTCACCTAGCCCTACCCCTCACTCCCTCACACCCCTCACCCTAGCCCCCTCACACCCTCACCCTAGCCCCCTCACACCCCTCACCCTAGGCCCCCTCACACCCCTCACCCTAGCCCCCTCTCACCCTCAACCCCTCACCTCACCCTCACCCTCACCCTAGCCCCTCACCCCCCCCCTAACCCCTCACGCCCCCTCACCCTAGCTCCCCTCACACCCCTCACCCTAGCCCCCTACCACCCCACCCTTCACATCCCCCCCACCTAGACCCTCACCTAGCCCTCCTAAGCCCCCTCACACCCCTCACCCCCACCCAGCAAGGGCTATTTCGGAGGCCCCTTTCACGGCCGAGGAAACTTCTCCTGCCGGGGAGTAATGGCGAGGCACACGGCCGTTGTATTTTGCATCTTTTACGGCTTGATATGTCTCTTGGCTAAATGTGGCAGTGAGAAGGGAGGAAGAGGGAGAGAGAGAGGAGGAGAGGGAGGAGAGAGAGAGAGAGAGAGAGAGAGAGAGAGAGAGAGAGAGAGAGAGAGAGAGAGAGAGAGAGAGAGAGAGAGAGAGAGAGAGAGAGGGAGAGAGAGGGAGGAAGAGGAAGGAATGGGGTGTTGGAGGAGGAAGAGGGAGAGTGAGGAGAGGGATGGATGAGAGGGAAATGGAAAGGATGGAGGGGGGAGAGAAGAAAAGGAAGGGAGAGGGGAGAGAGGGGTACGGAAGAAGGAAGAAGAGTGGGAGGCAAGAAGAGAGAGGAAGAGGAGGAGATGGGAAGGAAGAAGAGAAGAGAGTGGGAGGGAAGGAGGGAGGGAGGCAGAGGGAATAGGAGAGCAGGAGGAAGGGAAAAGAAGACGGAGAGCTGGGGAGGAGGAAAGAAGGAGGAATAGATAGCATGAATAAAAGGAGGGAGAAAGGAGGGGAAAGGAGACAGACAGATAAAAAGAGATACAGAGAAAAAAGAAAGACAATTAACGACTAACGAAGAACAAAAAACAAAACAAAACAAAAAAAATAGAAGAACGAATGCGAAGAGAAGGTCGAAAGAAACAACAAACCCAGGGTCGTGTTTACCTTTTCATGACCACGTGACAGGAAACAGACTGAGTGCCCCGGGGGAGGTCGTGTCATGGTGCCATCCAGCGTTACTGTGGCAGTGGAGGGGGGGGTGGAGGGGAGGGGTTAACAAGGTATGTGTATGTTACGAAAAAAATACGATTTAACAAAACTGAGGTTGATGTAAAATCCCAATTCTTTATGACATATATATATAAAAGAATATTTGTACGTAGAGACAAACAAACAAACGAAGAAACACAGTATCGTGAGTATGCATATATGACGAATTAATAACAAGAATAGAATAACAAATTACTCGTTTCGAACCAGTAGAATTCCTCTTCAGACGATGGAAAATAAAATGAAAGAAAAACGAAAATGTGATATATAGTTTTTCTAACATTAATCCGAAACGTCGGTATTCCTCCATTCTTCTCCCATCGCACTAATCCCATTCCATAAACACACCATGAAAAACACACACACACACACACACACACCGAATATTCACACAACTTTCACACACACACATGAATATTCACACAACCTTTCACACACACACATGAATATCCACACAACCTTTCACACACACACACACATGAATATCCACACAACCTTTCACACACAGACACACATGAATACCCACACAACCTTTCACACACACACACACACATAAATACCCACACAACCTTTAACACACACACATGAATATCCACACAACCTTTCACAGAAACTTCATGAATCATGCTCGGCGCAATTCCAAAGTCCTGTACGTGTTGCACATTAACAAAGACACACACACACACACACACACACACACACACACAAAAAAAAAAAAAAAAAAAAAAAAAAAAAAAAAAAAAAAAAAAAACACGCACGCACATTTCACGTTAAAATGCCAGGCAGAATAGTCGTCACTCAGCCAAGAGTGCGCGGCGGAAAGCATAGAGAGCAGTACATGCAAAAGACTCTTTAACCTCGGTCGCATTTTGCTTTCGCGTGTAATTTGCAGGGAGGTTCGAGAAAATCCGCAAGCAAGCAAACCCCTGTCGTTTATCATGCAGTTTTTTTTTTTTTTGGGGGGGGGGAAGTGGATGGGGAGACTGGTGTATCGAATTGGCGGTCTGTAATTCCTGTCCTCGTTCTTGTCCTTGGTTTGTCCTTGAACTTGTCCATGGTCTTGCCTTTGTTGCCCATGGTCTTGTCTTTGTTCTTGTCCTTGTTCCTGTCCTCGTTCTTGTCCTTATTCATGTCCTTAGCTTGTCCGTGTTCTTGTCCTTAGCTTGTCTTTGTTGTTGTCCTTAGCTTTTCCTCGTTCTTGTTCTTGTCCTTAGCTTGTCCTTGTTCTTGTACTTACCTTGTCCTTGATCATGTCCTCAGCTTGTCTTTTTGGCTCGTCCTTGTTCTTGTTTTTGTCCTTAGCCTTTCCTTGTTCTTGTCCTTATCTCGGTCTTCTTCTTGTCTTTAGCTTGTCCTTGATCTTATCCCTAGCTTGTCCTTGTTCTTGTTTTTACCTTGCCCTTGTTCTTGTTCTTAGCTCGTCCTTGTTCTTGTCCTTAGTTTGTTTTTGTTCTTGTTTTTACCTTGTCCTTGTTCTTGTCCTTAGCTTGTCCTTGTTTTTGTCCTTAGCTTGTCTTTGTTCTTGTCCTTAGCTTGTCATTGTTCTTGTTCTTAGCTTGTCCTCGCTCTGGCCCTTAGTATGTTCATGTTCTAGTTCTTAGCTCGTCTTTGACCTTGTCATTTGCTTGGTCTTTCCTGATTCTGCTTTGTTCTGTTCTTTGCGGATTTGTTCTATTGTGGGACAGCTTCAAAGCCGAAAAGTTATTGGGATATTCTTTTTTATGAGTATGTATATATATTTACACACACATCGCATGTAGAAATAAAAACGCACATGTTTATGGTTTTATTCATCCACTCGTTGTTTATTCGTCGAAAATTTTGGTATTACTTTCTCACAATCTTATTTTCTTCTGCTTCATGGATTATTCTTTATTTGCCTCTGATTCTTATTCGGCAAATGCTTTCAGTATTTTCTTCGGATTCAGTCTGGCATTCACTTGAATTCATTCCATTTGTCATTCTTTTAAAATCATTATTTCTATCCGTTTCTCTCGTGAGTTTAGTATTTCTGTCAGAATTTGTAATATAAAGAAGAAGAAAGTCTACGTAATATTTTCGAATCTCGGAAAAGAGAGAGACATCAAACTCAGATGTAGGAGTCAGAACATATGTTTTGGCGAGTGTTATTTTTTCGGGAAATCTTGCGTCGGCTTGTTTACAGACAGCTTGGCGGATAATTCTGGACTGACTATCTTGAGGTCGCTTGCCTTCCGTTTCAGGATGTATTTCAACCTTTCATAGAAGTTTGATTAAGGCGGCTTGTGACGTCACGTGTAAACAAAGATGGCTGAAGTTTCGTTAATGTTCTGAAATCAGTTGGAGTCTGTCATGGCAAGTAATAAAGCATGGACAGATTATACGAAAGGGGAAGATAAACAATGATGATAAATGGAGCATCTACGAAATTACGAGAGAGGGAAGAGAGCGAGAGAGAGAAACAGGCTGACAGACAGACAGAGAGATAGACTGACTCATAGACAAACAGATAGACTGACCGATAT